AACATTAATAAATCGGAAAAGCCATAGATAAAACATTTACTATTATTATCCATTGTATAGACGTCATTGAGTCAGAGGCTAAAGAAGCACTCCACTACGACGTCATCACGTGATGTCTATAAATAGAAAAATTACCTTAATGAAAAAGTGAAAAGTTCAACACTACCCCGGGGATAATTCATTTCTTTTTGTGAAAATAATTATGTAAAAACATCACTGGACCATGAAAAGTGCTGCTAGAATCCTACTCTCCAAACACAGAAAAAATTATTCCAAAGTTTTGCGTGAAACCTTACCAAAATTTTTACATTTTACACATACGATCAAGGAATTGGCATCAATTTATGTTAACCACACGATTCTAGCAGCACTTTCCAAGTACTTAAGAATACAAGCTTTCGATACAAACAAAAATTATGTTTCACAGTATGCGGCGTAGTGTTGAACTTTTGCATCTTTGTTGTTATAGAGCGACAGAGGAAAGGCTGATCGGGATTTCAAAGCACTGCGTCTGTTCATTATAAGAAAACATGATAAGAATATATCAGCGTACCTGATTCTTAATCTTTAACTCCTTATGAATCACACATAATATTCAATAAATATGCTTTAAAACTCCCATTTCATATATTTGTTTACATGATTTCTCGTCACATTTCATTTTCACTCGGCAAATATTTGATCAATAGTTATGACGTCATGGGTTTGGTATTTAACCCCCGTGATAAATACTTAGATATTTATACCACCCAAGAACGACAAGATTTAGTTTATATTATGTTATTGAATGATTCCGTTTATTTCTTGGATCTGAAATTAAACTTTAAATATAGATATTAAGAAATCATTATTTCTAAAGATCACGTCATACAGCTTACTATGACGTCACACTGTAAAGGCAAGTAGGATATCTCTGGGTGTAGCCTTAACATACCCGCGATGTGTAACTTTTCAGCCGGCGACAATATGTACCAATGGACGACAATATGTGCAGTGAGGGTAGGTACATATCGTCGCCGACGACAATATATACAAAACGACAATATGTACCGTCACATAGTGTCTCATGTCTCAAGATGGCAATATAAATGTTATGTGAAATTGTTTGCATAGATCAATTTGGTCAAATATTATCATAGCCAAGTGGTTAAAGTATCGGTTTTGTGAACCGCAAATCACATCCCTACAAAGGAAAGAGAGCGGAAACTTATTTTTTTCCCCATTTTTTCTAAGTTCAAGAGGGATAACTCTTCAAAAATCATAAGACCACGACAATTCAAATTGACCTTTATGTTTTGGTAAAATACCTGCATAAGCAAAATATCAACCTTATACATACACCCCTACAAAAGCTAAAGAGCGGAAACTGAAAAATTCTTATTTTTTCTACGTTTTGAGAGGGATAACTCTGTCAAAATTTATCAGACCATGACCAAATTCAAACTTGACCTCAAACTTGACTTGCATACTTCTATGATGTATTCATATGTCAAATTTGAGTTGAATGTGTGCATCTGTTGCCGAGGTAATGAAAGGAAAGTCAATGATGACGGAATGAAGGATTTGCAGAGTGAGGGAATGACGGAACAAGGTAAAACTATATGTACTATCCATTTTATGGGGGGGGGTTAAAAATATATAAATAATTAACGTTCAGTTAAGGTTACTTGAGCCATTCCAGTGACCTATTCCGATCTTTTTTCGTGATTGTGTGTCGTTCTGTCGATCGTAAATTTTCAAATATTCTCAATTTTTTTCCACCACTGCATCAACAAAAATTGGTAAAGAGCATTCATCGTAAAGGGGGACAAAATTTGCGAGTTTCATGTTTTCTTTCTCCCTTGGGCCTAATGGTCGGGGACAAAACCATCTAAAATTAATGCAATCTTTAACAATCTTCTTCTTCATTTCTGGACTTTAAACCCTCTACCAAAATTGTGAATTTCATGGCCTCTGGCAAAGACTCAAATGTGGGGCTTTTTTGGTTAAATCATAGTCTATGGGTTTAGCCCTAAAGTGGGGCTAAGTTGGTAAAAATGCATTATATCTTTTAAAAAATCGTTCTCTTCAGACATTCTAATATAGCCGTCATACTGACTGCATGATTGTAATGAGTACTCAATCTTTTTATAAAAATTGTGAAATCCATGACCAGTGTGTTCATCGTTTGTAAAGGACTTCTAGTGGAAAAACAGATTTAATGATGACTGTGAGCGTATACCTTTTCGTCAGAATGAATGGTTTTTGTATCAAAAACGTACATGTACATGTAAATATAGCATTTTTAAAAAAAGCGTTATACTAATATCAACATTAACAAATTTTGTAATATCAGTGCTGCCAAAATATGACTGAAAAACTGTTGACTGGGTGCTAAACAATAAACAATCAATCAATATCAGTCCTTTTGCTTTTAAATATGGAAAACTTTCTATTGCATTTACATACATGTAATATTATATCTTCCTATATTACATCTCCCTACTGGTGGGAAGAAATGAGGTAGAGACAGACAACAAGACCACCTAATACAGGGGGGGGGGGGGGGTCTTGAAAATAGTGCTTTGTTATAAATGAAGTATGAACTAGATTTTCCAGGCAACAATATGTAATGGTACACATTGTCATTCTGTACATATTATCGTCGGTGACAATGTACATCTATACCCTCATTGCATATAAAGTCCTCCATTGCCACCTGAAAAAATATACTCTACATTTTGTCAACACCAACAATATGTTCATACCCTCACTGACCGTTCACGGTAGCTCAGTCGGTAGAGCGCTCGCTCCGTGATCGGGAGGTCGTGAGTTCGAATCTCGGCCGCGACAGACCTAAGTCGATAAAAAATAGGTAGCAACTGTTCCTTCGCCATGCGCTCGGCACTTTGAAGTGAAAGTTGCGGGTCCTTCGGATAAGACCTTAAAAACCGAGGCCCCGTGTCACGGCAGGCGTTGGCACGATAAAGATCCCTCACTGCTCAATGGCCCTGAGTGCCGAGTAAAGGTCAGAATTTGAAGCCCTTCACCGGTATATGGTGACGTCTCTATATGAGTGAAAAATTCTCGAATGGGACGTAAAACAATATACAATCAATCAATCAATCATACCCTCACTGCACCTATTGAGGCCCCTTTTTGCTAAAGGAGTGTTTACTTTTTGTTTTGTAAATATAACTGATGTGTAAATAGTACAGTCTTGTAATGTATGTATATTTTATGAATAACACAAGTGCAATATTGAGTTTCTTCTTGTATATTACAAAATGTAATAAGCTCGCAAGTTAGCACGAAAATGATATTCAACACCATTTCACAATCATTCAGTAAAACAAAGTCGCAAAGCAAATAAAATATTATTGATGATGGTTATGACGATTTGAAATTGCATGTTCACTTAAAGATAAATCAATGCTTTTTGAAAGAATAATTGTCATTTTTTGAGTTCGAATGAAGCAGCTTCAATAAAATGCTAAATTTTAAAATTGATCATTTAGAGATGGAGATTTGGAAATGGAGAATCGTGCAATTAGATATAAAAAATAACGAGACTCACAAAATTTAGCACGATCTTCCACCTTAACCGATAAGCGCAGTAATAAATTAGCACATATAATTAACAAAAATAATATGTATTAGGTGTTATCAGGCATTGACGTGTATATGTCTAAGTGGACAAGTGAAATACGATGTTTACGAACAGTTCTCAAGCTCAAAATTTAATTGAAACAATACAAATTGGGAGCAGCTCAGACATGGTGCTCTTAATTCATTGGAGGTGGGATAAGGTGCCATGGAGAAGTAAGTATCCCCTGTCGACCAGTCACACTCGCCTTGTGGTCCTTGTCATTATCGGTTAAAAGGAAAAAATCCATAGACAAATGTGAAAATAATGGCACAACAGTTTGCATGAGGACTAACACAAACATTTCGATTGAGAGATAGGACTAAAACTTATGTAATCTATCGTATTTCTGAATTATGCGCAAGGCTAATCCTGATCGGTTGAATAGTGTAACTAAGCCTAATAAACCTATTTAGTCCAGTGGTGTGCAAGAGTAACCAAAATCTGTCAAAAAATTTTTAACCCTTAATTTTTGGATTTTGAAAGTCTGACAGCGACCTATTTTGACGATATAAAATTGTTTTCCCAGCATCATCAAACATATAAGTCCATCAGACTTTAGTATGACCATCGCACTTTTGCGTCATGCATATAGACGAGGTCGTTTTTGCATATTTTATTTAGCCCTTACATTTGTACATGTACATTTCTATGTAAAATGTACAACATATGAGGAAATTTTTGTCGAAACGTTGCCGTATCCCAATAATTAAGAAACGTCTCGTGCAAAAAGTGGATTTTATTCATTTATTCAAAAAGACGTGCAAAATGTAGAATGTTATTCTAAATACACATGTACATCTATTCAGACTGACACAAAATACTTAGCAAGCTTTAATCGACAAGTTTCATTTGCGCTTAAAATAAATTAAACTTGTAATTGTACAATGATCACAAAATGTCACAGAAATAATATACAAAGTGAAAAATTAATATAATGAACATATTACAGACATTTAGATCCATTGAGTTAATAGGTCATGAAAAATAATATTGGTGAGACACAAATCAATATCCAAATGATCCTGGTCATTTATTTAAAAAAAACTTGTCAAGAAAACGTGGTTGACTGATAAGTAAACATTTTAATATTTTAGGACTTTAGAGTTTAAAAAAACCCAGAGCTATTTAATTGCTAATCATATTTAATGACATTGTAATAGGAAAATGTACACAAATGTTGAATTCATAATTCTGCTTGAGTAAATAAAGTTATAATACAGAATATAGATGAATGATCCTGACACTCCATAAAATTATATACATTATTTTGAATTTCAACTATTGCAATATCCTTACAAATCCAAAAAAATATTAAATATAACGACTTTCATCTTAGTTAAGCTTGCTCAAATGAGATGAAAACTGGGCTGAAATACATACACATAAGGGTATATAACAAAAACCGTAAAAAATGTATCTTGATCAAGCAGGTTTTGTACCAAATTGAATAATCATTATATTACCTTTTTTGCAAACAAAAAAGAAATGACACCTTTCTAGACCCAGAATTGCAGTATCCTTTGTTTGTCAAAGGGATGCACGTTTTCCATGGCATGCTTTGGACAAGGCCTTTGTCCTTTACCAGAACTTAATCCTACTTTTATAACGTCACTTTCACTAATAAAGAAATCTCCATCCTCGTCTGTTATGTTTATGTCTTTGCAGTAATAACCAATCTCATAATCAATTTGTCTGTGAAAAGTTTGTGTTATTTTTGTAATCAGTCTCTCAACTGCTTTTCTTATTTTTACGACACATTGAATCTGCAAATGCATACCTTCGGGAGTAAAAACTTGCAATTGAATAGAAGTTTTGTTAACAGCAATAGCAATGTAATGGCTAGCGTCTTCTACCTTGTAAAATGCTGCGTTTTATACAATTTCTTTTCGAGAGCCTCCCATTCATTTAAGCAATTTACAACCAGTCGAAAGAAGAAAAAATGAGGCAAATATGTTTTGAAACGGAAAACCATTATTGAGGTTTTCTCTCTACTGTTGATTGTATATTTATATGCATCAGGAAAATCAGTTCTGTTCATGCTTGGAATGTAATATTTTAGACCACTTGCGTCATCCTGAACTTCTGTCATTAAACCAAGTCTGTCCATGTACGGTAAAATGTCGTCTTTATGTTCAATATAGGACTTGTTTTTAGAATTCTCCCATGTTTCTTTCAGCTCGTATTCTGTAATTCTCCCTGTGTTGATTAAAACGTTTTTGCTACTTTCTCTAGCTAAATGTTTTTCATCAGTTATGATGTATTTGAAAGCATCAACAAACCACTGAACATCAATAATTATCACATCTTTCATTTTCTCCTCAGCAAAATAAACGATCTGACCTATTTCGTGCAGAAACCGAAGGCCATAATCAAGATCTTTATCGCTAGGTAAATCTTCGTTTTTTAACTTCAGTTGCTGTACTAAAATAATCTTCATTCCACTACCCTTCATCTCATTCAGGACTTTCTCAAGGTTTGCCCATTTCAAAGGAATTACCTCTCCCCACTGTGGCATCCTTTCTACAGTTTCTACTATACATTTTCTGAGGCATTCCATTGTGTCCAGCTGTTTTGGTGACAAATTATTTGGTGGACATTCGACTTTAAGATATCTGTTTGGAGATATGAGGTTTTTCAAAGATTGTTCATCAGATAAGCAGTTTTCCAGTTTTTCGTAAAACATTTTCTGTAAATCCTCTTTCTGTTTTAAAAATAATTAAATATTGTACTTTTAACATGTTTGTATACAAAAGTAATAAAAAATAAAAAAAAAAATAGACAAAGCATAAATAGAATTACCATAAAAAGTAATACCATATTTACAGTTCTAAGATCAACCACTAATTTATCAAGATATTAGTGGTTTAAGCTGCAGATACTTGTATTTTTAAAATGTTTAATTTATAGCGGTTTTGGACGTTGGTATTGACAATTTATGATGTAAAATGGGGAAATGTATCATTAATGGACGTATGTGTAGATCATGCATGACAAAAGCACATCATTTCTTGTTAAGTTTTTGCAATTAATGCAACATTATATAAAAAGAGGCCCAAGGGCTAAACGTCACCTGAGTATAATGCAACACTGTAAATGATCTATAGAAGTATAAAACAAAATTAAATGATAGAAGAAGCAATGTTGCCAAAGAATTTCAAAAAATCTGGTAAAATACCCTTCTAATTGTGACTTGTGAGACGCTAGCGACCTTGTTGGGATCCTACACTGTACTTGTTTGCAAATCTTACAAGGATGATATTGAATGCAAAAAATACAAATACAATAATGGACACTTGCCTAATGTTTAAAGTATTCAATATATACAAATATGTTTTTGTCACTCTCCTAGTGCTACAATTAAGTACTCAAAGTCCGATAAAACAATAATTGTGCGCAGAGCAAACACGGACCTCTAAAAACAGAGGTTGGGTCATTTGCCATAGAGGAATGAGCATTTTCTGTCAACCGATCATACCCGCCGTGCACATTTTGTTATGCTCGTATAAACTGAAAAATGATACTAGATCATGGATTAACTTTTTATTAAGCATCAGCAAACTCATTGATTATGGTATTGATAATTTTTTAGGATTTGTATTGTTTTCTTACCACTTTGTCTGCATGAGACGCAACAATAATAACAGGATGAAAGCTGCCACTTGAATCTGTGCTTTTCTGGACTGTGTGTGTTTTTCCGACATCACAGTATGTCTGTATGGTTTGCAACCAGAAATGAAAATAGTCTGAAAAAATCAATAATGTATGCAGTAAAGGAAACCCCCAACATCAAAGACTACGACCGTATAATTTATGCACAAGTTTAGAGTTTCATTTATGACAATGGCCTAATTAATACAGTATCATTGTGTGTCGGTAAAAAATTAAAATAAGACATATGAAAAATTACTTTACATACTGATCAAGGGATTAAAAATAATTATACCAGCATATCTTCATCTGATGCGTTCTTTAGATCAATTAAAGACTGCATATTCATAGAATAATCGTACTTCACACAGGTAAATCTGAATGTTGACTTATAATTAAAGATATACGGTAAGTTTTTCAAAAAATACTGTATAACTTTGCCACGGTGTCGTAAGATCAATCAATTATGGGCAGTGAGCTGGTAAAATAAGTGATATTGCTAACATGAAACCTGATTAAAAATGTAATCTATAAATTTAATCCCATATACATTTTATTCATTTGGAATTCATTAGAATTTTTTTTAACCATTTAACACAAGGTTGACCCCTAAAATTTTTCTAGACAAGTTGGCAATTATTTTAAATTGACTTGGCGATCGTCAAAATACTTTTATCATTTATAATTTACATTTTTCTGAAGAGGTGAAAAGAAATCTAGAAGAAGGGAAAAGTACTTCTAGCAATGGATATGTCATGTTTTCTTTGTCATCTTGTTTGTTGTTTCTGTAATTTAAAAGAATATTTCATTCGGTCAAAGTTTCTTAAAAAGAAATTATCTACTGAAACGTGTTGAATGTTAGAGTTTTACATATATGCTTAAGATAAAGATTGTATTTAAATGACCTATATTTCATGCTGATTTTTTTTCTTTATGACTTTTAAATATTTTATATTAATTACATGTGGAAAGTTAAAAGAAAGTGTTGGGTGGGGGTGGTGTTCAATCAAATATGAATATTGAATAGCAAAATCGGTCTTCTTTCAATTCTACATTTTCTTCTAAATTATCTCCTAAATATTATCAACCCAAAAGGGGATGGGGGCACAGAAATACCCTTGTTACAAGCGAAATGGACACTACACACTCCCATCCCACTATCCCCTCATGAGTATATGTATTGATTACTATCAACTTTTAAAGTTGGCGCCTAAAACAATTGCCTGGCGACTAAAAATTTGCATGGGTCACTAAATGTTTTTATTAGGTGTCAGCTAGTGCCTAGAGACCTGTGTTGTGTAAGAAAGGGTAACACATATAAAGTAGTATGAAGAAACATTCAATAGTGTCTAAAAAAAGGAAGGAAAACATACTAAGATTTTTAATGGAAATCACCTTTGTATTTCCAGGAATGGAATAAGGATCCTTCTGGATTATGGCGATCAGTGTGATAATTTCCAACTTCTTCTTCCAGACCCTTGGACATGTCAATGACCACGATATAAAACGCTCTCCTTGACAAGTAAACCTGGTGACATGCGTAATAAGCTACTTGTCCAGCAAAATCTGTCATACTGATAAGCTTTGTACCACGGCTGCTATGATGAAGAATGCCTTTGATAACCATTTTCTCTTTTTCTGCATTGTGCGGAAAAAATCTTGCGATAGGAATATCTCCCTTTTTAAGGCTGAAATCTGATTAGATACGAAACAAGAAGAGAAAAATAGAATGTTATGAGTCAATTCTTTCCTAATGTAACCAAAAGAGAGTGACTTTAAGTGAATTTTAGAGTTTCAACAGAAATAAATGCATATGATTTGGAATCGGTTGAAACCTAATTTGAAACATTGCGAATAAATAAGAGAAGAATTACCATATAAGGTGCCATTTTTAATTTCAAATAAGTCTTCATGGACCTCTAGACCGATTGTTGTCTCTGTAGCTTGATTTCCCTCTGCGTATTTCCTTTGAAGCATTCTAAGGAGAGTTGTTTTACCTGCGCCTGCGCATCCCACAATCATACCTCGTGCACGGAACATTTCTACTTTTCCATGGCGGAGACTCTCAACAAATCTTTTTCTTGCACTTGTATCCCATTTCAAAATTTCCTTCGGTATGTTTACTAGATGAAGAAATAATTGAATCTCTTTATTTGTTTCTATCATTAGCATTAACTAACATCGATACCTAATTTTCTTTCTGAAATAGGACTCGATATGCGTTCTTCTAAAATCCATCTCAGTAACAATGGATATGATTGGACTGTGCTTAATTGCATAATAATGTGTTAAGTATGATCTGGATATGAAAATGTATATGTATTTTAATAAAAAAAAAATCTATTGAATATTTCCTTATATCTGATTCTAACATACTTTTTGAATTTATGAGGCTGTAGAGTTCCAAAAAAGTTGACTGTTATCTGCTTTCTGATTCGGATCAACTGACAAGGTTTGACAATTCTACGTCCTTGTACGCGTAAGTATCGATATGATACAGACAAAATATCATTAGAGTTACAGGTTTCCAAAGTGAGGTCACCGTGAACTTCTTTCATTTGACACACAAGAAACATTTAGTGAATTTTTCATGATTCAGGGACTCAATTTGGGCAGGATATGGTCTGGACACACTACTGTAACTAAAAAGCACTGAGAATCTAACAAAACCCTGAGGAAGTACTGAGTTGTACTGAGAAAACCCTGAGTGGTACTGAGCCTGGTACTGAGAAAACTGAGGTAGTCCTGAGGAGCACTGAGGTTTTCACTGTGGACACTGAGGACATACTGAGAGGCACTGAGGTTTACTCTGTTGGTACTGAGGGGGTACTGAGGGATACTGAGGTGGCTCTGAGGGCACTGAGCTGATACTAAGTAGCCCTGAGGTTTAAAACCGTGGCTACTGAGGTAATCCTGAGTGACACTGAGGCTATTTGTTTCAAAAATTACTATTTTCTTATGAGTTTTATTGTAATATAATGGTCAAATTTCTTTATTTTAAACTCTCCTCAAATCAAAATGTGTAGGTACAAGTATTTTGAAACCTAACGTCAACAATTAAACTGGAATTGTTTTTGCTTCTCATTCATTGAATTAAATAAATTATTTGCATTTGGAATTTTAAAGGGATATTTAATTAAGTGTTCTATGCATATATTTTTTGAAATATGATATCTGATTTATTTGTCTTTGATATCAACCAATTACTTAATTATTTGTGAAATTTCTTTTTTTTTTTTTTAAATTTATTTAACCAATATTAAACATCATGATAAATAGTTTATATTGTCCAATAATTCTCGATCCACACCTGAATGTTTAGAGTGAGTTACGATTCTTCTATGCAAATACAGGAGTCCTTAATGTCAGGATAATGGTAATGTTTCAAACATATTCTATTGCACGGCACACATAAAAATTTTGATGAACATGTTGCAACCTTTCCTTGTAAAAGATAATATCAGTTAAAAGTTACAACGATTCTGAAACATCTTTTACTTGAAAGTTGTTCGTTTCTGATGATCAATATCATAAAAATAAATAATAAATAGATAAAATATTATTAAATGAATAAATAAATAATTAAAGCAAAAACTTTTTAGATGATCTTTAATGAATTAAAGCAGATATATATAGAGAAATAAAGCGGTGAGGTGTCACAACTTAACTTAACAACTTATTAAAATAAATTTTACTGTATATTAAAATTATATGAAATAGATGTATTTTGACTGATATTAATCATTTATTGCATATTTTTAATGCTATTACTTTTATCAATATTTAACGAGGTTCGCTCCTGAGCTTTTGAGCAGATTCTTATTTTAACTTATATTTAAAAAAATCTGAGTAATGCTTTAATTCTTACAATAAATTTGGATTCTACAATGCCAAATAAACTATATTCAGTTAAAACTCCATGATTAAATTCCATACCAAAAGCATTAAGTGAGGAACTATATTTTGTGGCGGAAGGTTTTTTAGAAGAAAATGATCATTTTTTCTCTTTTGAAGTATTTAAAGTATGTTAAGTTTGGATTCCTATTTTTACATGCAGTCTGCACACAGAGTTATTTTGTGCAGTGAACTGTTTTATACTGGTCCTAAATTATATATTTAATAAACTGTCATGAATTCAATCATCATATTTGATAAGTAAATCAAATATATTGTGAAAATCAAGAAAAAAAATAGCCCTAATTTAAGCTCAAAATTAGCACTATTTTAGTAATATCTAAAAATTAACATCACAGACCCCCACTTTTAACTTTCTTTTCTGAATATACAAGATACTTTTAACCATTCTTCTTAAATTCAGTAAAATGTCATTACTTTTAAATGAGTTTTTTGCTTGTTAAATTTGTAATGCTAGCAAAATGAAATTTTTTGAGTGCAAAAAGGTCAAATAATTGAATGTGCGGAGTAATTTAAAAATTTTTTTCGTTGTCAAAAATTTTAATGGGTCTATTCAAGATGAAATAAAACTGTGTTTGTTCCCATAACTTATTTGAATAAAAAATATCGGAGGAAAAACTTAAAAAGTTGATTTATGTGTAAGACGTTTTTACAGTGCAAAAAGGTCAAACTATATGCTCTGTAGCGCCAAAAGAAGCGCATTGACCCCAGTTTTTTGTTTTGATTTTTAATTAAGCTATGTGTATAAATTCTAAAAATATACTTGATAAAAAATTCTCATTACTTTTAATGTCAGGATCCAACCTCCTTAAGCTGTTGGTGCGACATCTTAAAAAGAAATATTTCGAATTCCAAAATCATATCCCATATCTCATTGCATTGTCATGTAAATTTACCGGGTCAATAAGTAAAAGTAGCTGTCACTTTGTAAATTTTGTATTTACTGTCACTCGGTTAATTCAAAATTTTACAACTTGCATGAAAGCATTTGAAAAAAGTTTTTCTTTACCTATCGCGAATTATGAAAATTATTTTGAAAATGAACATGGGGGATAACTGAAAGTTTTGTTATATGTGCTTGTTATTAATTAAAATGAACACCGACAGCAGTAAATAATACCGGTAGGTTTTGTTTTATGCTCAGGTGATATTTTGTAAGAAAAAGTTTGCCGATTATTTCAGCACACACGCAAATGAAAGCAGAAGAAAGAATCGTTAAAGGAATTAAGATATTCAAAGTTTAAAATTTTGGATCTATATGTAAAACACAATGCGCTAAAATTGTAATAACATGTAGTTATATAATATCAAATCAAGCAATCTTCGTTGTTTGGAAAACAATTGATCTGTTAATCAGACTGATGGCAAGTATACTTAAATTATATAACCCTCGCTTGATTTACCAGGAACTTATCATTGTCATAGCTGCGTATACATGTTTTCTTGGTGATAACGCAAAAATAAGACATTAAATACAGTAAATGAAAATAAATTATTACTCCGTTTAAAATCCAATTTTTGTTTTATTTTGACTAGTTCTAATTATCCTACAGTATTTTTTCAACTGTAATTAGGTCTTACTGCCCATCTGTTATAATACTGTACAGTACATATAATAGTCACGAATGATTCAGTAGACATTCTAAACTTTAGAATCTTGTATCCTTTCATTTTGAAAAATAACTAATACCTTCGGATTAAAAAAAAATCAAGCCATACTATGAACGCTATTAAAAAATATAGCTTTATCGGAAATATTGTTTAATGTATAATTGTGTACAATTAAAAGTGTTTCTTTAAAAGATGATTTTTATTTAACACAGCAGGGTATTCAAATACCATGAATATGGATATTGTACACAAACGGAAGCCCATTGAAGTTCTACGCAGACGCTGACAAACGGAAGCGCTGTGAAGTATTATACAAACGGAAGCGCTGTGAATTACACAATGCGGTAGCGAGAAAATAAGACAATAGGTGTCACTGCTGTATATATACAGATGAGCACTTGCCGGATATCACAAGCAGTCAGTTACGCAATGTTGACGTGACAGGTAGACTCAGAACAACCCCCTCTTTTTAAATTTTCCCTCAGACATTACAGAAAATCATTTCAAAACACAAAAAATCTAAATTAAATTTGCGATACATTAATTTTTTTTTTCTTGATAATTCAAGTTGGGAGTTTCAAGATAAAATCTAATTTTTATTAATTTTTTTATTATTATTTTTTTTTTTTTTTTGAACTACTGGTTTAGTTTTAGTTTATCTCTACTAATCCGATCAGTTATAAACAAATATCTAAAATACAGTGTGCTTGATTAATTAGAAGTTTTCAGTAAGCGATACATATTATCCAACCTCTCATGATCAGGGTCCCCTTTCAGAATAAAGAAATCAACTGAAATAATCGGAAAGAAAGAAAAACTAAATATATTTGAAAATTCTTTTTGATGAAAATGGAGAATATTTCATGTTTAACTTTGATTTTCATAAAGCAAGAATTAAGTACCAGTTTTCTTAGTCAGATAATATGTAAAATTCAATCTCTTCTGATCTGATCTGCAATAATTTCTATACATACTTTACACTTTTGTTAATATGACAGCTGCAATGTTTCCGTTTTCTTAACAGAGCTTTCTAAATATCCTGTTATTGCAATAGTCATAATAATAAACATGTCACCATAAAGAAAAAAGAAGAAGAAAAAAAGAACACGAGGCTTGTATTGCCTTTCATGTTAAATCAAGTATACAGTATAATTAAGTGTTTGGAATTAATGTGTTGTATTTATGAATTTCTCTTCAACATCGTTTACATGTGCGGTGTACTTAAAAAATACGGCAAAATTTTAGTAAATTTATTTTCTCTCCATTCAGGAAAGGTAATGTGATTCGCTGTTCTACACGGTCGGATGTCTCCGTAAATTTCAGACATCGGGAACGAGCATCAAAATACTTTATTTTCAGCAATGGTTTTGTTTAGAATGTTAACAGGCGACAGTTAATGGCACATCAACTTTTTTTCTAAGTGGTTACTGTCACAGATAGTAGTACTTATTCTTGAACTAGTATGTAATATCGGTATATGGACAGTTTAATGGAAATAGAAAACCATGTAGTATAAGAATGACAAAACAATTAGAAAATACAAATTACATAGTAGTTTCATGCAGTCCTACATGTATAACTACCTGGGATTCACGAC